CTGCCATGGGGAGGGGGCTCGGGGCGGGCGCGCCAGGCTGGGGGGGCGCAGGCGCAGGGGGCCCTTTTGAGAGACAGACGCAGGGTTACTGCGGCTTCAGGCGGCCGGACCCGCGCCCGGGGTCTGCTGGGTGGACGGGAAGAAGAGCGGAGGCTACCTCAATACTGACCTTCCAGGGCCCCCTGCACGGCCCGCTGGTCCAGCAGGCTCTCGGCACTGGCTGACGTCTCCGAGTCCAGGTTCTCCTCGTCCGAGCCCCTCGGATCCAGCTCTGGCAGCCGGTAGGTGATGTCCTCCCTGGGGGAGAAGGTCCCAGTGTCCACGACGGCTCCATGGACAGAGTAGGCCGTCCTGTTCCCACAGGTGACCCCTGCCTCCAGCCCCTCCCACCCTGAGCACACGTGACCTAAACAGCTCCTGCCTCAGGGCCTCCTCCCCTGCTCCTAAGACGAAAGTGGTTGGGCAACCTGGCCACACCTGTTCTCCTGGCACTTCTTTTCTTTTATTATTATTATTTTTTTGAGTTGGAGTCTCACTCTGTGGCCCATACTGGAGTGCAGTGATCACTCCCGGCCACCGCAGCCTCGACCTGCTGGGCTCCGGCGATCCTTCCGCCTCAGCCTTCCGAGTAGCCGGAATTACAGGCGCGTGCTACCACGCCCGGCTGATTTTTTTGATTTATTGTAGAGATGAGGTCTCGCTGCCCAGGCGGATCTCGAACCCGCAGGTTCAGGCAACCCACTCACCTCAGCCTCCCAAAGGCGTGGGATTGCAGGCTGAGCCACCGAGCCCGGCTACCCGTTTTATTTTTAAGAAGAGACGGGGTCTTGCTATGTTGCCCAGGCTGGACTTGTACTTCTAGGCCCACGAGCTGCCTTTGCCTCGGCCTCCCAAATAGCTGGGATGACAGAAGTGTGCTGCCGTGCCTGCCTGGCACTGCGTTACTTTTTCACGCTGCCCCCTTTCTACACCTTGACTGGATGCTTAATTTGCCACCTGGGTCAAGATGACTTCAAGTCGAGGCATGGCCTTTCTGCCACCCCTTCTCTCCCTGTGGCACCCTTGGTCGAGTGTGGGGTTTATTTTTATTTTTTTAGTCAGTCTCCCTCTGTCATCTGCACAGAGGCTGGAGGGCAGTGGCACACTCCCGGCCACCGCAGCCTCAACCTGCTGGGCTGTGATCCTTCTACCTCGGCCTCCCAAGTAGCTGGAACCATAGGTGCATGCCACCATACCTGGCTAATTTTTTGATTTATTGTAGAGAGTGGTCTTGCCAAGTTGCCCAGGCTGGTCTCAAACCCTTGGGGTCAGGCAGTCCTCCCGCCTCTGCCTCCCAAAGTGCTGGGATGGCAGGCGTTGAGTGTGGGGTTTAAATAAGCACTCATGGCCCCATGCTGGGATGGCAGTGCCCCAGGGAGCACTGCCTGCCTGTGTGAAGGACAGGGCCGGGACAGGGAGGAGACTTGCTTTTCCTCCTTGATGGACTGGATGCGCTCAATGAGGATCTCCTTCTCGCGGTCCTCGTCGCTGCCAGCCACCTCTTCGGGCAGCACCTCCAACTCCTCTGCGCGGCCGCCCTGGCTCCCGTGGGCTGCAGGGCTCTTGTTCTGACACATGGGAGCATAGGTCAGCCGGCAGCCGGCGTGAGGCCGGCTCGGGGTGTGAGAGCAGGTGGGCCGCGCTGGGGTTAGTTCTGCCCCAAGACGGCTCCAGGAGGGGACGGTGTGGGGAAGAGGTGGCGTGCGGCCAGTTGGTCATCCTCAGTGACGGCCAACAGGCAAGGCCTCCCCACATGCACTTCCGGAAGGTTAGGACATGCTTGGTCTATCCTACAGGGATCCCAGGGCCAAGGGTACCACATGCACCGTGGCCTGGGAGTGTACATACCAGGACCCCCTCAGAGGGAGACGAGAACCCCAGCTTGAGAGGCCATGGCTGGGGGAGAGATGAACACAGGGTGACCACGCAGGCCGGGACAGACTCAGTGCGGTCAGGGCACGTCTTGCGAACAGCACAGACGGGGCTCCCTGGTTGTCCCAGCCCTCCCCTGTGGGGTTGCTGCTGCTGCTACAGGGACACTCCCTGTGGGTGGGCTCAGGTCGGCAAGGGACAAGGCTGGATGGACGGCCTGAACGACACAGGTGAGTGACAGGTCCCTCCACCTGACCCACCTGGAGGGACAGCCAGGCTGGGGGAGGCTGAGTGTGGACTGTGGTCTTCTGGCCAAGGCAGGAAATCTGCTTTTGCCTGTGTGGCCGCGGGACTGAACCCCCCACCGTAGCCAGGTTGTGTGGGCATGGGCGGTAGCCCAGGAAGTGAGGGCCCCCCATGCCGCCAGAGACCATGCCTACCACCCCAGAGACCTCCCACATGGATCCCTGCGCTGCTGAGATCACACCCACTACCCTGCGTCCGCCATGAGGCCCCGCCCACCCACACAACCTCCCAGCCCCAGGGCCTCCCCATGAGGCCTGCCCTGCTGTCCCTGAGCTCACAGCATTCTGTCGCAGCAGGGAGAGCCTGCGGAAGGCGATACTCTCTGCAGCCTCCAGCTGGCTGATCTCCTCCATCTTGACCTTGTACTTCCTCATCTGCTCCTTGATCAGCATCTCTACACACCTGTGGGAAGGCCCAGGGAGGAGGTGGCTCATCCACCCCAGGAGTCCAGACTGTGCTGGCGCCCATGCTGTGCGACATGGGGCAGCTGGTGTCACCTCTCTGGGCTTGAGGCCCCAGGCCTCACGCCACCTTGTTTGCAGGAGAGTTAGAGTGAACTGAGCCCCTCAAACACCACCAGCAGGGCAGGCTTATCCGGCCTCACAGAGAAGTCCAGGGTGCAACCAGGCTGGGCACCTGTCCCAGGGCCAGTAGGCAGCCTCCCCTAAGGGCTCCAGAACAAGTTTATGTTGGCCTAGTGGCTAGGGGCATCTGGGGTTGTCAATCCAAGGAGTGACTCAGTCCAGAGTGGTCAGGACTGGGGGAAGGGGGGCTCCACCCAGAGTGGTCAGTGCCGAGGGAACTCTGCCCAGAGTGGTCAGGACTGGGGGACTCAGCCTGGAGTGGTCTGTACTGAGAGAACTCAGATAGAGTGGTCAGGACTGGGGACGAGGCTCAGCCTGGACTCTAAACAAAAACAAAAACCCTCTCCTGTTGTCTAGCCCTCTGAGCGCTTCTGAAGAACTTTGGGAGATTGCTTAGGGGAAAAAAATCTCTAGAAAGTCATTTCTATTTATCAGAAGGTGAAAAAACTGAGCTTTCTTTTTCTTTTCTTTTTTTTTTTTTTAGTTGGGAGTCTCACTATGTCGCCCAGGCTGGAGTGCAGTGGCACGCTCATGGCCACCCCAGCGCCGACGTCCTGGGCTCTGGCAATCCTTCCGCCTCAGCCTTCCAAGTAGCCGGAACTATAGGTGTGTACTATCACACCTGGCTTATTTTTTATTTATTGTAGAGATGAGGTCTTGCCAAGCTGCCTGGGCTGGTCTTGAACCAATGGGCTCAGGCCATCCACTTGCCTCAGCCTCCCAAAGTGCTGGGATGACAGGCTGAGTCACCGAGCTCAGTCTTCTTTTATTTCTAAAAAGAGTCCAAGCCGGGCTCAGTGGCTCAGCCTGTCATCACACGCTTTGGGAGGCTGAGGTGAGTGGATGGCCTGAGTCCGCGGGTTCGAGACCCACCTGGGCAACTTGACGAGACCTCATCTCTACAATAAATAAAAAAAATTAGCCGGGCGTGGTAGCACGCGCCTGTAGTTCCAGCTACTTGGAAGGCTGAGGTGGAAGGATCGCCAGAGACCAGCAGGTCGAGGCTGCGGTGGCCGGGAGCAGCCACTGCATTCCAGTCTGGGTGGCAGAGTGAGATTCCAACTCAAAAAAAAAAAAAAAAAAAAAAAGAGTCCAGAAGTGATACCTCCCTGTGTGAGAAGAGCTGTGGGCTACATCTCTCAGGGTCTGGGCCTGGGTGAGCCCCGGAGTGCGGCCCCTGTGGCTGCTTGCTCCTCCCTAGATGGGATACTCTGAGCCGAATGGGGCTGTGCTGACCACTCACCTTCTGTCCTGCCTCCACTGGATGCTCTGTCTAGTAAAGGCATGTTTGCTAGTGCATGTCCAGAAAGGGGGGGCCAAAGTTGACAGGCGCTGTCACCCAGGAGTGTAGCAGGTCAGCACAGCCTCTACTTCTGGCCTCAAGCAATTCTCCTATCTCAGCCTCCCAAAAATGCCAGGCCTATAGGCAAGAACCGCGGCACCAGCCCTCCCTTTCCTTCCATCTGACTACTTGTGCTGTGGTGCAGTTCTCTGGCAGGGCTTTGCTGAGCGTGTCTGGGGCAGCCAGCACTCACATGGTGATCTTGAGCACGTCCTTCATGCTGGTCAGTGGATCTGAGTTGTCAGGGCAACGCAGGAGGCAGGGTGCAAAGATGATGGCTAGTGCCCCAGGTGACATGCGGTTCACGTCCTCCAGCAGGGCCACCCTGCACAGCCACTGGTGGTTAGGGGGTGCCACGGCCGAGGGAGGGAGGTCCCAGGGAGCCCAGGACTGGAATCTAGAGCTCAGGTGTGGCGCAGCCCAGAGGTGGGAGACACTCATGTCCATAGCATAGAAAGGTACCTTGGGGGACCTGGGCAGCCTTACAACCTCAGCTTCCCCCAACTGTCCCCCAGGGAATGCCAGGCTGCACCGGGGCACCATGCCTTGGGGTTCCCCGGGCACCCACCCCCAAGGGGGCAGGTGGCACTTGCTTGACGAGGTGGAAGACCAGGCGCTCCAGGGAGTTGTGGTTGGCTTCCGGGAGGTGCTCCAGGACGGCATAGATTGCGGCCAGCTGCTCCTGCTGCTTGGGCAGCTCTGAGGAGGGGAGGGTGTCAGCTCCGGAGGTCCCCACTACAGGCCTGGGGCAGGAGCCGCCTGCATGCGCGCTCGGGTGGGGGAGGCGGGTCCAAAGGCCATTGGGCCCACCCCTTCCTGCACTGGCCACCGGGCTGGGTGCAGCTACCCCAGCTGCGAGGGTCCCCCTGGCCCGACCTGGCCCACGCGGGCTCACCGACGGCGCGGAGGAAGTCACTGTAGTGGGCGAAGGTCATGAGCGGCTCCGGCAGCTCACGCAGCCACTGCTTGAGCACACCCGTGATAGCGTGGATGGGGAAGCTCTCCAGCCGCACGGCCGCGGGGTCTGCAGGGGCAGAAAGGTGAGCGCACTCGCAGGACCACACCGCCCCCGGCCCCCGTGTGCCAGCCCGTGCCGACCTGTCTGCAGTGCCTGCCGGAGCTCCCGTGTGCGGTTGGCGGCGCCCGACTTGCGGTAGAGACCCTCGGTGTACAGGCCGTGCATCTCCACGTGCTCCAGGAGCTTCTCCAGCACCACAGGCACTGAGGCCTTGTCGCTGGTCAGGCTGTCCACACACACCCCGAAGTGGCCCGGCTCGGTGCCCGGCTCCCCCTGCGATGGGCTGGGGTCAGCCTGGTCTCTTCCCTGGCTGCCTGTTGGGCCCTCCCTGTGGTCCCCAGAACCCCGGGCATCTTGGGTGGGCTCCGTCCTCCCCGCCCCACGTCCCCCTGCATGGCTGCTGGGTGGCTGGGCTTGGCCAGCAATGGGCCAGGCTTCCAAGCAAGGCCCCATGGGGTGGGCAGTCCTCCTGACCCGGGCCAAGGGTCATTCCTTGCCCCCAGACCCTCAAAGAAGAGGGGTCCTGACTCCTGCTGTGCCCCAGCACTGGAACCCCAACTGCTTTGTCATGCGCTGCAGTGGGACTTCCCGTTTGCACAGAAAGCCCTGGAGCGAGCAGGGCTAGAGGCCTGTGGTGTACATGAGCCCGCCCTGCCTCAGGGTCTCCTGCCAGTTGTCCAACGCCCCCATTTCGCCCTCACACTGAGTACTCCTGCCCCAGCAGTCATGCTAGAACATTCCAGCCTGGGCGTGCTCACCTTCCTTCCATGTGTGTAGGAGCAGCGGCTCTGGATCTTGTGCACACACTTCTTGTGGCAGGTCATCTTGCACACTAGGGGGTCACAGGCAGGAGTCACAGAGGGAGCACAGGGGACACAGGTCCCAGAGCCACCCACTCCTGAGACTGCCAACCGCCTCCTTCCCACAGCAGGAATCTCTGCCTGATTTCATGAGCGGTGCCATGTGAACAGCTTCTTGTGGCCTCTGACCAGCCTGGCTGGGAACCAGAGCCTCGGTCCTAAGAGGAAGCAGCCCTGGTACTCAGTGTGTCGAGGGCTAGGGTGGCGTGGTTCTTCCTCCCCTACCCACAATGGACCCTGGCCAGCTGAAACCTTGCAGAAAGCAAAGCAGTCACGCCAACAGAGAGGAGAATCCAGCACCCTCCAGGCGATGCTGGGGTGTGAGGGGCTGGGCTCAGGCCCTGGACGCTCATCTCAGGAGGGGGACAAGCAACTCGGTATTTAGGATGCCTATGGGGTGGTGGGGCTGAGGGACCCCGGCCCAACGGGTTCTGGCAGAAAACTGGGAGTGTGAGAGCCCACTTGAAACCACTTGACCTCCAGGGGCCGCCTGGGCTCAAGTCCTGGCTTGGCCACCCTGAGCTGCGTGACTCGGGGCTGGTCTGTCACCCTGGGCTCCACCTGCCTCTTGGGGTCCCTGTGGGGACTGGCTGGCTGCAGCTCACCCGCGGGGAGTGGATGTGAGCGGCCTGGAGAGGGGACGGCGATTCAGGCAGGGGACCGGCACGCACAAAGCCAAGAGGCCAGCCCAGGGTGAGCCCTGGAAGTGCTGGCGGGGAGGCTGCTTGGGGCCAGCTCAGGCTCTCTGGCCCTGGGATGAGTGGGTGGTGGGGGTGAAGGAGAGGCCTGCCTGGGGCTGGGGTGGGTGGGGCCGCTCACCGCTGCAGAGTAGGGCCTTGTCCATGAGCCAGATGTAGGAGAGGCACTGCTCGCATGACTGCGGGATGCTCACCTGGTAGCTGGCGAAGACGTGCCCGTTGTGCTCCTGGACCTGCAGGCGAGCAGGCAGGGGCTGAGCAGGGGCTCCCGCTGGGTGGCTGAGGCATCTGGGTGGGTCTGCTCTCTCGCTAGGGCTGTTGGGAACCAGGGAGGCACACGGGCACGCACACACACACGCACACGAGCACGCGCGCGCCCACACGCACACCTATTCACAGCACGCTCCTGCTTCCGCTTCTTCTTCTGAGCTTTGCTCTGCTGTGGGGGACACAGAGGGAAGGTTGGTGCCAACCCCCGAGAACAGTCACCCCAGCCTGGCCCTCAGAGGGAGACGGCGGGCACTGGGACCCCTCCCACTTGGCGCCCTGCACCTGCCCTACTCGGAAACCCCAACCCGGACTGAGGCCCCGCGAGGGGCTGGGCACGGAGCTCCCCACGAGGCGCGATGGCTCACCTTGGTGGGCTCAAAGTCGCTTCGGGTATAGCCGCGGGTGAATTCATCCAGCAGCGACTGGAAGAGGTTGAGCACCAGGTTGGTGTCCTTCTCGCCGCACTCGGAGGCCAGGTTGCTGACCACGATCTGGAAGTTCTCCATCAGGTCCTTGTAGCCCACGTGAATCTTGCCATTCTGTGGAGGGGGCAGGTGTGAGCATGGCGGCCGGCCAGGCTGGAGGCATGGGGGGCGCCGGGTGGGGGGGGGCAGGGCAGGCCACATACAGGGACAGAGTACATGGTTTTGATGTTGCTCCTGAACTTCTCGGTGGCCTCAATGAACAGGCTCTCAGTGGGGGTCTTCTGGGAGCGCAGGTCATTTACCTGGAAAGAAGGCGGCGCTGACCCAGCGGCCCTGGGCCTCACCCTGCCCCCTCCCGGCTGAGCAGAATCCAGCCCGCTGGCGAACCCTGGTGTCTGGAATCTCCTCCCCCCAGGGCCAAAGCTGGGAACTTGGGGTCGGGTCATTCTCTGTAGGGCGTCCTGTGCACTCTGAGTGCTAAGCAGTATCCCTGACCCCCCAGGTGCCAGGAACGCTCTTACCCACAGCCGGCGATGTCCCCAGCCACTGCGAGTGTCCCCTGGAGGACAGATGCCCCTACGTGAGAGCCACAGGCCTAGCCCAGGCCCCTCTTGTAGTCCCACACAGGACTGACACCAGCCACGCCCCAGGATGGGGTGGCTGCAAATGGTCTGGTCACTCAGAGGTGCATGGTGGGGCTTCTGGCCCTCAGTGTCCCCACCAGCCCCTTGTGCCCATCATGTTCCTGGATGCAGCTCCGTCTGAGGTGAGGGGAACCCCCAGACATGGTGTGAGCACCCTCAGTTCAGGTCACAGTGCGTTCACCTCTACTTCCACTGCAGACAGTCAGTGTCTAATTAGTATCCGCCTTGAGACCGAATGCATGTTGTAAAACTGCATTCGGAAGAAAACAAGGAGTTCAGGCAGTGACTGTGCAGCCGGATGAGGTCTGGCCTCAGGACTAAGGGGCAGCCGGGCAGGAGGCAGGGGTGCCCAGGCCCCATCCCCAAAGTTACTTTAGATTCTGGCACTTCCCTTTCCTCATGTGAGAAAGTAGGGCAGCTGCCCCCTTGGGTGCTGGGAGGTAACATGGGATGTTTCTGTTTTTCCAATTTCTTATTAGGATTTAGAGATTTCACAAAGTTCTTAGTACGTAGTGACGTTTTCATAATTAGCAACTGCTTCCCATCATTAAAACTCATTATAGCCACTTTCAGGGACATTAATGACTTCAGTGTCTGTAAGGGAGTGCAGTGGCACACTCATGGCCACCCAGTGTTGACTTGCTGGGCTCTGGTGATGCTTCTGCCTCAGCCTTCCAAGTAGCCGGAACTACAGGCACGCACTATCACACCCAGCTAATTTTTGATTTGAGGTCTCGGTAAGTTGCCCAGGCTAGTTTCGAACCTGTGGGTTCAGGCAATCCATTCACCTTGGCCTCCCAAAGTGCTGAGATTACAGGCTGAGACACCGAGTCTGGCCTATTGCCAGCTTTTACTTTTTTTTTTTTTTTTTTTTGAGTCGGGGTCTCACTCTGTTGCCCAGGCATAATCATGGCTTCTGCAGCCTTCACCTGCTAGGCTCAGGTGATTCTTCTGCCTCAGCCTTCCAAATTGCTGGGACTAGAGGTGTGTGCCACCACACCTGGCTAATTTCTTGATTTATTGCAGAGATAAGATCTCGCCCTGTTGCCCAGGGTGGTCTTGAACTCCTGTTGCCAGCTTTTTACAAGTTTCTGTAGAAACATTCAGGTAAGCAGATTCGTTGGCTGGCTGATGCATCTTCTTTTTTTAAAAAAAAATATTTTGGCTGGGCACGGTGGCTCACACTTGTAATCCCAGCACTTTGGGAAGCAGAGGTGAGAGGACTGCCTGAGCCCGAGGATTTGAGACAAGCCTGGGCAACATGGTGAGACCTTGTCTCTACAATAAACAAAAAAATTAGCCAGGTGTGGTGGTGCGCACCTATAGTTCCAGCTACCTGGCAGCTGAGGTGAAAGGATCACCTTAGCTCAGCAGGTCGATGCTGTGGTGGCCATGAACATGTCACTGCATTCCAGTCTGGGCAACAGAGCGACACTCCGATCTCCGCCTCAAAAAAATTTATTTTTAGAGACAGGCTCTGTGGCCCAGGCTGGAGCACAGTGGCGTGGTCATAGCTCACTGCAGCTTTGACCTACTGGGCTCAAACAATCCTCCCTACTCAGTCTTCTGAATAGTTGGGACTGTAGGCGCTATCAAGCCCAGCTAATTTTATTTTTTGAGTTGGAGTCTCATTCTGTTACCCAGGCTGCAGCCACTGCAGCCTTGACCTGCTGGGCTCAGGCGGTCCTTCCGACTCAGTTTTTCAAGTAGCTGGAACTACAGGCGTGTGCCACCATGCCCAACTAATTTTTTGATTTATTGTAGAGACGAGGTCTTGCCAAGTTGCCCAGGATGGTCTCGAACCCCTGAACTCGGGCAATCCTCTTGCCTTAGCCTTCTAAAGTGCTGGGATTACAGGATTGAGCCACCGCACCTGGACTATTGCTTTTTTCTTTGAGTCTGAGTCTCACTCCATAGCCCAGGCTGGAGTGCAGTGGCATGCTCATGGCCACCCCAGCATTGACCTGCTGGGCTCCAGCAATCCTTCCGCCTTAGCCTTCCAAGTTGGAACTATAGGTGTGCGCTACCACACTCGGCTAATTTTTTATTTTATTGTAGAGACGAGGTCCCATCAAGTTGCTGGGGCTGGTCTCGAACCCATGGGCTCAGGCAACTCACTTGCCTCGGCCTTCCAAAGTGCTGGGATTACAGGCTGAGCCACCGTGCCCGGCCTGGCCTATTTCTTTATTTTTAAAAATAGAGATGTGGATCTCATTATATTGCTCAGACTGGTCTTGAACTTCTGACTTCAAGCAATCTTCCCACCTCAGTCTCCCAAAGTGCTGGGATGACAGGCATGAGCCACTGCGCCTGGCTGAAATTGTCTAACAGTGGATTTGAACCTTGTTGGGCATAAGCCATAGGATAAAATGCACCTGCCCAGCACCCAGCCTGAGCTCACACGAGACAACAGTGACCTTGCCACATGAAATGTGCTAACCATTCTCACCCAAAGTTCTTGGGGTTGGTGTGTCCCCGGGTTCAGACTGCTTGGGATGTCGCGAGGGTTTTCACACATCCCACACAGCACTCTGTAACAAAACTCACTAGGATTCTGCAGTGTAATGTGAATATTCATGCTGACAGAAAGAGGTGACAAATAGTCTCACATGAGCCCAAGCTGGGTTCCGTAGAAGACCAGCTGATGTCAGACTTAGGTTTCTGGGACTACCTTTTTTTTTTGAAAATTAAAAAAAAAATTGAGACCGGGTCTTACTATGTGGCCCAGGCAGGTCTGGCACTGGGCTCAAGTGATCTTCCTGTCTCAACCTCCCCAAGTGCTGGAATGACAGGCGTGAGGCCACTGTGCCCAGTCTGGGTTCCGGAACCTTCTGTGTGGCAACTGTGGCCCTGAACTTCCTTTTTTGGTTTCTTTCAGTTTTATTTTGCCATTCTTTTCTAACTTCTTGAAATAGATGTTTAACCTATTTTTTTTTTTTTTGAGTGAGAATCTCACTGCTGCCCAGGCTGGAGTGCAGGGCACACTCCTTGGCCACCACAGCCTCGACCTTCTGGGCTCAGGTGATCCTTCCACCTCGGCCTTCCAAGTAGTTGGGACTGTAGGCACGCACCACCATGCCTGGCGAATTTTTGATTGAGTGTAGAGATGAGGTCTCACCAGGCTGGTCTTGAACCATGGGCTCAGACAATCCTCTCCTCTCGGACTCCCAAAGTGCGGGGATTATAGGAGTTAGCCACTGCGCTGGGCCGGCCCTGGACTTTCTACTGCCGGCCTGCTGAGGACCTCTCCTGCCCCACTGGGTCCTGGCTGGCCTGGGCCCACCTTGTTGAGCAGGAACTCGTCCAGGAACTTGAGCTCGTTGGCGTTGGTGATCTTGCGGAACACTGACTCCCGCCACCTCTCGGACACCGTGATTTTGCCGATCTTGAGGTTTCGGCTCTTCTTTCCCTTGCCTGCTGGCTCCTTGCCGTGCCTGTCGCTGGCCACGTGGCGGGGCTGGTGGTTGGCGGGAACTGAGGGACAGAAGCAGCAGGTGAGGGCGGCATCTAGGGAATGAGGCCCTCCCGGAGTGCTGGGCCTGGATCCACCCTCCACCAGCGCAGAGCCGGCATGGGGAGGGTGGGTCTGGCCCCGGCAGCTTCGCATTGGCCCTGAGGTCATGGGCCACCAACCTTCGGGCCCCTTCTTCATGGCAGCGGCTTCAAGGACCACGAGCCCGGAGGCTGTGCTCTCCGCTTCATCCACGCCCTCCAGGCTGTACTTCTTATCCTTGGTTTTGTGCAGGAAAAGCCTCTTAAACGTGGACCTGTGGGAGACAGCAGCAGCCCCTTTCTAGCCTTGGGACACGAAAGGGGACACAGGCCCGGCCTCCCTCCGACCTAGCACACCGCAATGTCCCGCCTAGAGCTGCCAGATGTAAAGGGCCTGTTGTCACCAGTAGGAACGGTCCCGCTCGCTGTTGGGGGAACGGGACATTGCTAGAGCCAAGGTCTGCTTGTGGGACACCAACAGAAGCCACAGACTGACTCCATTTGCTTTCCTTTCCTTTTTCTTTTTTTTTTTTGAGTTGGAGTCTCACTCTGTCGCCCAGACTGGAGTG